TCTTCAATTTAAAAATCCAATAGCTCTCTCGCTGTAAGAGTTTTTTGTCAACGTCCCCTTACCTTGGACCCATTGTCACTCTTTCTATGCCATTGAAACGTAACCCCTGAGCCGATCCACCATGTTGAATTTTGAGATGGCGTGAAATCGGTGTAAAAATCCAATAGCTCTCTCGCTGTAAGAGTTTTTTGTCACCGTCCCCTTACCTTGGACCCATTGTCACTCTTTCTATGCCATTGAAACGTAAACCCTGAGCCGATCCACCATGTTGAATTTTGAGATGGCGTGAAATCGGTGTATCAATTTGTCTAGATGGATTGACAGAATTGATATGTTCCAAAATTCGATTCTTGAAGGGTCTAAAAGTCTTGCCTACATATTTCATATTGCAACTGCATGTAATGAGGTATACCAGGCCAGATGTTTGACAATTAAAGAAGGTTTTAGTAGTGTGACTTTCCGTATTAGATGAGTTAGAAAAGGTCTTTGATTGTTTTCTGATAAACTTACAAGCTTTACAGCGGCCACATTTAAAAGTACCTATTACAGGTGATTTCAACCAGGTCGTACTGGGGGCGGGTAAATGTAAGTTACTTGGTACTAGAATATCCTTCAAATTTCGACCTCTTCTAGCTGTAATAGATACGAAGGGAGTCAAAACTTCTTTAAGATGTAGATCCTGGTATAGAAGAGGCCAAAATCTCTCCAGTGTCCTTTTTACCATATCCCACCCTGAATCAAAAGTGCCGATGCACCTAATGGATTTCTGATCAGTTCTCTGTATAGAGTTATCTGTCAGAAGATCCATCCTTTCTGTCAGGAGGGCCCTCTGGTACGCCTTTTTCAGGCATTTATTTGGATAGCCCTTAGTCTTAAAATAAGACCTGAGGGTATTGGCTTTTAATTTGAAATCCTCAAGAGAGGAACAATTCCTTCTTAGCCTTAGATATTGGCCTATCGGTATCCCTCTTTTTAGAGCAGGGGGATGGTAGCTCCCCCAGTTCAAGAAGTTGTTGATTGCTGTAGGTTTCTGGTAGAGTGTAGTAGAAAGATGGTTATCATGGGTAATACCCAGGGTGACGTCGAGAAAATTCAGTTTCTGTCCACCAACTTCATACGTAAATCTAAGATTGATGTCATTCATATTAAGTTCATCCACAAACTTATTAAACAGATCATCAGAGCCTGTCCACACTATCAGGACATCATCTATATAGCGTTTCCAAAGGATGACGTATTCTGTATATTTAGCAAGTTGAGAGTTGAATACAGTATTTTGTTCCCACCATCCCAGGTGAAGGTTAGCATATGAGGGCGCACAAGTTTTCCCCATAGCCGTACCCCTCACCTGGTGGTAGTATTTGCCCTCAAAAAGAAAATAATTGTGTGTCAAAATAAAATGGAGAAGTTTTAAGACAAATGTATTATGTTCCTTTAGAGTGGGATCTCTCATCTGAAGGAATTCTTTTACGTGTTTCATCCCTACTACATGAGGGATGGCGCTATATAGACCTTCTACATCCAAACTGCATAGCTTTGCATTGGTAGGTATGATCATATCTTTAAGGATGTTAAGAGTTTGCTTGGTATCTCTCAGGTAGGAAGGGAGAGATTTAACTAGATCCCGCAAAATAAATTCCACATAGACACTACAATTTTGTGTAAGGTTGTTGTTACCTGACACAATAGGTCTCCCTGATAGTATGGCTTGTTGTTTGTGGATCTTTGGTAAAGCATAGAAGGTCGCTGTTGTCGGTTTATTGTTAAACAGAAACCTAAATTCATCATTTGTTATTAGATTAAGTTGGAGTCCTTCATCTAGGATGTTCTTCAGTTCCCTAAGGTACTTAGTTGTAGGGTCAGTACTTAAAATGACATATGTATTTTTATTGTCAAGAATTCGATGTACCATTTGGATATAGTCACATCTATTCAAGACAACCGTATTACCCCCTTTATCAGAGGGTTTGATAACAATAGAGTCATTTTGTTTTAAAGCATCTAAAGCTTTCCTCTCAGCGGGGCTCAAATTATTGTTATGGTGGGCCTGAAAAGGCATGTTTTCATCCATATTGTCAATCTCTTTGCAGGTAAGTTCCACAAAGAGATCGATATACTTGAATTCCGAGATATGAGGGGTAAATTTGCTTTTTAGTCCCAGAGTCGTAAATGGTGCGCTTAATTTGATGGGGGGATCATTACTGTTCAGAAGATCAACTAGATTATCCAGAAGGTCCATATCTTGAGTTTCTAGGCCCAACCTAGTGGCTCGTTTTGTTTTTTGTATGCAGTGAAATTTATGAAGGGCCAGTTTTCGTGCAAAGAGATGGATGTCCTTTGTCCAACTAAATTTATCAAATTTCGGTGTAGGGACAAAGGACATCCCTCTTCTAAGAACTTGAGTCTCTAGGGAGGTCAAACGATGGGTAGATAAGTTTATGATCTGGCTTTCCTGGGTTAATAAGCTTTCCTGCGTTTTTGACCCTGCGTATTGGCTCTGTTTCTTGTATTGCGCTGTGGTCTTTCTTCTATGTTGGTTCTGGCTAAAAAATTAATCCCTTTTTTAAGGATACTTTTGGGATTCAAATCAGTTGAAGTGGATGTACCTTCTACGCTCGGCTCTGATTCGGATCCACTAGTCTCGTATTCAGAAGTGGAGTACTTGTCAAAGTCCACTCTTTTACTTCTATTGAATTTACGATAGATGTTATCGGTCTGAAAATCTTTGGAGTCCCTCATGAATTTATATTGGTGTGGGCAATGTTCTCCTGTATATGCCCATCTGAGAATAATATATCTGCATCGGAGTACCATGCATCGGAGACCTTATCCCCTTTAGGCTTGAATGAGGGTTTTTCTTTCACTCCTTTCATTTCTGACTAGAATCTGACCTTGAAATTTAACGAGCATGCTACTCTAATTCTTGTATATATTGTAAATACTAACACCATTAATGTTTGTGTAATATAACTTATCGAGAACTGGGCACTGTATCTTTAACCCCTTAAGGACCGAGGACGGTTCAGGACCGTCATCGGCATTTTTGCCTTGAGGACCGATGACGGTCCTGAACCGTCCTAACGGTCAGAGCTACTTACCTGATCGCCGTCGTTCCCCCGGCGGCGATCAGCGTGGCTCCGGTTGTGGGGAGACTGCCTGCAGCCCAGACAGTCTCCCACGGCAGATTAGGACCCCTGTGGCCATGTGATCGCTTAACACAGCGATCACATGGTCACAATAGGTGTCATAGTGTCTGCCTGCAGGGGGACTGCCTGTGCTGACAGGCAATCTCCCTGCTAGTGTAAAATCAAAAAAAAATAAAGTTAGTGTTAATAAAAAAAAAAAAATAATTATATATGTGTATATATGATATATAGACATATATTATATCTATATAATATATGTCTATATATCATATATATAATGCCATACTAAGTGTATTTTTATATTAATATGTACTTATATTAATATAAAAATACACTTATAATTAAATTACACACGTATATATATAATATATATAATAACTATATATATTGTATATATATTATTATAAAATATAAATAATAAGTAATTTAAATTAAATAAAAAATTTTTTAAATAATAATAAAAAAATTTTAAAAAAATTATATAGCTATATGAAATTTTATTCTAACTGTATTTTAAAATTAATATATATATATTTATATCAAAATACACTTAGAATGAATTTGTATATATATCTATGTATATAAAAATAAATAAAATAATAAGAAATATACATACGTCCATATACAAAATTACATAAATAATTATATAAATATACACGTAGACTTCAAATATATAAATATGCATATACATTTAAATTCTACGTGCGTATTTATGTAATATTTTTACATAATTCAGTAATTTTATTGATTGCAATTTGAGGGACCTGCCTGCCAACCCAGGCCGAAATTCCAGAGAATTTAATTTGCTAGCACTGTATTTTACCCTGTAACGTTCTACGACACCCTAAAACCTGTACATGGGGGGTACTGTTTTACTCGGGAGACTTCGCTGAACACAAATATTAGTGATTCAAAACAGTAAAACATATCACAGTGATGATATTGTCAGTGAAAGTTACTTTTTTTGCATTTTTCACACACAAACAGCACTTTTACTGATGATATAATTGTTGTGATACGTTTTCCAGTTTTTAAACACTAATATTTGTGTTCAGCGATGTCTCCCGAGTAAAACAGTACCCCCCATGTACAGGTTTTATAGCATTTTTGAAAGTTACAAGGTCAAATATATGGGTCAAATATTTTACATTGAAAATGGCCAGGTTGGTTACGTTGCCTTTGAGAGCGTATGGTAGCCCAGGAATGAGAATTACCCCCATGATGGCATACCATTTGCAAAAGAAGACAACCCAAGGTATTGCAAATGGGGTATGTCCAGTCTTTTTTAGTAACCACTTGGTCACAAACACTGGCCAAAATTAGCGTTCAATTTAGTTTTTTTACTTTTTTCACACACAAACAAATATGAATGCTTACTTTGGCCAGTGTTTTCGACTAAGTGGCTACTAAAAAAGACTGGACATACCCCATATTGAATACCCTGGGTTGTCTACTTTAAAAAAAATATGTACATGTGGGGTGTTATTCAGAGATTTATGACAGATAATAGTGTTACAATGTCACTATTGATAAATTTTAAAAATGTATGTTTTGAAACCGCAATATCCTACTTGTACCTATAGCCCTATAACATGCAAAAAAAAGCAAAAAAGCACGTAAACACTAGGTATTTTTAAACTCAGGACAAAATTTTGAATCTATTTAGCAGTTTTTTCATTCGCTTTTGTAGATGAGTAAAAGATTTTTCAAGTAAAAGTCAAAAAACATGTATTTTTTTCAATTTTTCATCAGATTTTTGTATTTTTTTTAAATTAAAATACATGAGATTATATAAATAATGGTATGTAAAGAAAGCCCCCTTTGTCCTTAAAAAGACAATATATAATTTGTATGGGAACAGTAAATGAGAAAGCGGAAAATTACAGCCAAACACAAACACCACAAAAGTGTAAAAATATGCCTGGTCGCAAATGTACAACATCGCAAAAACAGTCCAGTCCTTAAGGGGTTAAATGCTACTAGATGAATCTTAGCAACGGTTCTCGATATTTTGAAACAGTATGTGATTGATTCATCACCTTTTTTGATATCATGGAAGCGCTTGAAAAGGTTAAATCTGTATAGACAACGAAGATATTGGACACCAAGTGAAATGGTGCCTCACATCACCTTAATATAATCCTAATATAATCTCAATCCTTGCCCGAATTATGTATAAGGGCTTTGTGTATATAGCTAACCATTAGGATATATTCTAACAAAAAGTTACCCTTATTGAGCTAGTATTTGGTATGTATATATATAAATATATATATTTTTTGAAACGATATCAAACACTATCTCACAACAGCTGTATATATATATATATATTTATATGTTCCGCTACACAACTTTGAGAAATCATCCTTGAAAGAACTATGTGAATAAGTTCAATGTATCCTTCTCTTTCCGAGTCACTTTTGAAATGGGTTAATATCGATATGGGTCTAGGAATAATATTTATAGACGAGAGTATTATCATGGAGTCCCCTTGGGGATTATAATTGAAAGGTATTCATTCGTTTGCCCGATATCCATCGGGTATTTTCATAGTACATTAGTTGGCAGTTCATGCTATGCCCTTCTGCGATATCCCATCGAATGACACCTTTTCATCTTTAGCATCTCCATATATATATATCCTATAGTATTGCCATTTAGCTCAATGCAGCACATTAGAACTTTCCTTTAAGCTATTGGTAGATTAGAGATGAATACATGTATGGATTTTCCATTTGTAACCTCTTCTTACCATAGACGTTTAATCAATTCGATATTGTACCCAAGTTGAAAATCTATAAGTGCTTATTGCACAACGGCTATATATCAGAAGAATCTAAATGATAACCGACCTTTCATTAGGACATGGAATAATAATAATATAGAAGATAGCCGTCAGGCTACAAATATATTCTTCCTTTACCCTGAGAAGTTCGCTTTACTAACACTGCAAGGGTTAAATCACTGCATCTAGCGGCACCCTAAAAAAAGCTAGTAGCAGAAGCTTGGCTTCTGATTGGTCCTTTTAAAAGGTCCATTTGCATAATGTATGCGTTTCAGTTTATTTTCTTTTGGCGCCGTTTTTTCTGACCATTGATTGGTCCACATTCTAAATCAGTAGCATTAGATACATATAAAACAGTGACCCAGCCGTCATTAAACTTTCAGCCCCTGACTAAGGTGCACGTTAGCGGCACCGAAACGCGCGTCGGGTTTTCTTCACTTTTTCTCACTTCACAGGGCACACTGTCACATGTGCAGGGACCAACATTCTAAGTATGGTCCTGCACATTAGCACGCATTAACTGTTTTTCTTTCTTCTTTATTCCTCCTGCATATTCTTTCCTCGTACTATTGGGGGAGTGAATTCAAATATACCTGTCTTTATATCTAGCATCACAGGCAGCCACGATCAGTCCGTCAATTTTTTGATGGCAATGTTGCTATTTCTATTGTTTATTTTCACGGACTGGATATTTTGTTTCTGTTGGGTATCTACGCAATGAATGCAATCCCATATACAGTTACATAAATGGTAAGCCTGTTGAATAGTATATAACAGGTTACTTTCACCCCCCTCTAGCTACAGGATTAACACAGTACAATTTGAATAATGAGGCAGCAGCATTACATTTAACTTTTGTTGCAAGCTTGCCATATATTTGATATTTTGACACAAATACTGTGTTAAATTAGAATTGATGTCTATGATATTTGTACCTTTATATTTTCCAGACATTGACACTGATTATAATATTAAAGTCAGAAGTCTGATTTGATATTAGCCAACATAGACATTAGGGAGGTACAGCTATTGATAGCTGTGGAGATCTATGTATTGATCGTTTTTTGACCTCTTTCTGGTAAATTCACAAACATTTTTTATTTTATTTCCGTATTTTGACATTATTTATCTAAATCTAACTTCCAGTTACTATTTACATATCTGGAGTGTTTTCTTCAGATTTGTGAATTTTCTTCGATATGTCAGGTTTGTGAGGGGCCCTAAAGGGTTAATCCTGTTAGGGATTAATCCCTCTTCATTTTTACATGCAAAAATGGTCCAATAAATACCCAGTCTTCTGGACCCTAAGGGGTTAATTCTGTTAGGCTGAACCCATTTTATGTATTATGGGCCTGAAGGGCCTAGGATATTCCTAGTATTCTGGATTCTTAAATCATAACTTCTTTAAGTGGCTGGGTCCTCCTCGAAATAAGTCCTATAAAACCCACAAAAACCCGTAAAAATAAAATTGAATAATTGCAATTTAAAGTCTTGATTGAAGATCTAGTTTCTCTAATCTTCTTTATTTGGCCCCATAAAATGCCATATAAAATGCAATCACAGCCTCCTGAACCATGTATTCAATTGACTTCTCTTGAACAAATCTGTATCTAAGTCACAACATGACAACACAGGAAGTTGCAGATAATTAGCGTCAACAGTTTGGACAAAGAATATTTTTGATTACAAAAAAGATTGGTCATCATAATCAAAATGGCTGCCAGACCGTGTGGCCTATGACTTTTTTGCTGCATAGAATATACCATATTTAGTTTTTATAGACATTTAACAAAAAGAGGTAATACAAGAATATTCTGAATAATAAAAATTCAAACGAAAAATAAATGTTCAGCAATTCATTTGCTACCAAATAATAATGAAAATAGCTGCAAACAGCAATGGTGATAGCCAAGTACTAGAGCATAGGCCCAGCACATGTGCAGGTACGGATTTCATATATTAAACACGCTGTAACTTAATTCAGGAATGAAATAAGTGCAAATGTATGGTACTCTAGATTTGTTTACGTTGACCATCTTGATTTTGATAAAGACTTACTTTCAACAACCGTAGTAAGAGACCTAACTGTGGATGTGTCTGCCAAAATCTATATTGTTCTAACAAACAGTTTAAAGGTTAGATAAAGGTCAAAAGATGTCACAACGTAGGGTGAAGGCAAAAAAACATTTATTGATCAAAATGGACAAAAAAAGATAAAATGGCCTAGAGTCCTTAATCATGTATGATGATGATTAAATGATGATTAATGATGATTAAAGCCTCTAGATCGAAACTTATATATTTTTTTTGTCCTATTTGTGTGCAGAACTCCTTTGACGTTATGCAGTTTCAGATAAGATTTTTTGAAATATTTTCTGCTAAAACAATATGGCCGCCTGCCAACAAATCAGAATTTAGGTTACAGTATACCCCAAACAGAGATTTGCAATTTTGTAGCATAAGACGTTCTAGAGAAGAAGATTTTTGAATATTTGCTAAATTGGTTGACAAAATAAAAATGACTGCCAGACGTGTGACCTACTTGTTGGAACATATACAGCACATCATATGTCTCTCCCATTGCACCAACTTTCAAGTGTTTTCGATTAGTGGTATAGTTTTTATATGCGTTTTTAAAAAAAAAAAAATTAGCACAACAGTTATTTAAACATCACAAACAATTATAATAACAAACAAAAACAATTGCTTGTCCAGCAACTGGATTACTTGGTTATCGACTTATAATACAGAAACGAACCAAAAAGATGATTTAACTCTGTAATTCAATAAGGAAAGAAGTGTCTAGCTCCTGCAAAAATGGCTCTTTGTGGTCTTCAAGGAATATCTTCATATGAACAAGGGTAATTAAATAGGTTGCAATTTTGTTACTTGACTTAATAATAGATTTAAATGGACCTGCGTCTAAGTTTACTAAGTTAGGCTGAGCTAATGAGCAGGTAACAAACTTCTGCAGAACTACTTGCTTCATGATCCTCTGCATGAATGTGACTGACCAAGTAAAGCATTATTTATGTTGTAATTTACCCAGGCCTCCCAACTGCCCCGCCTTTGGTGTCCTGTACTGCTTTAGTTTCCTGTTGTCCCACATCTGGAGACACCAGGAAACTGTCCCTTTAGTTGCACTAATGTGAAGCTGGCACTAGAACCCTGCAGGGAGTTCTTTAGCAGCGCTCCCTGCATGGTCCTGAAGGCTGGGGAAGGGAAGGCAATCAAAGAACCTGTCACTGGTAATGTCTCCTAGTGGCCTCTTCCACACCGTTTCCATTTTACCCTCCCAAATGTTGGTAGGTATGTAACATTACCAGCAGCTAAGGCAGCCAATTAATGTAGGCAGAAAGAAGATGTCAGACCTGCATATCTCTGTGGGGGGAAAAAAGCTCGGTTGAAGGTAAGAAGCTGTTACTTTTTGACTTTTGCTGGTTATTTGATTAGTTTGTGCTCATGTTTATTTTCAATCTGGAATGTGTATCTAGATTTTTTTTTTTACCGGTTTGCATAAACCTATGTCTTGTCTATGACAAGCTGTGCTTGGAAGCTTTGATCCACTGACACTTTGCTGTCTAACGAAATTGACCCTTAATCCTTTCAATGTGCGAGCTCTGCAATGGTTCTCTAGATAAAATGTGTTTTACAAGGCATTTTCCAAATGGAAAACATGCAGAGAAAATCATTTTTATCTAACATCACTGTACACCATTGGCTGCACAGTGTGAATATCGGTTTTGTACTAACATTGATAATTGCTCCAGTAGATTTTAATTTTTGGAATTGGGTTTTTAGTTTACCAGCTACTGTGCTTTCTGGGCTGCGGGTAACTAGCTATGGCTGAACTTGCTGTGCTATTATCTGCTGTATGAATGTGACTAAAGGAATCCCTGAGTGCTGTGAATGAGTCATTAATCACAATCACTAAAACAACTGTAACTTAATGAAATTGTTTTGGTGTATAGATCATGCATCTACAGTCTCACTGTTCAATTATCTGCCAATTTAGGAGTTAAATCACTTTGTTAATGCAGCCCTAGACACAGCTCCCGTGACTGTGACTCATACAGTCTCCCTGCACATTTCCTGAAAAATAAATCTAATAGTTTTGGCTTCCCTTATTGCACAGTGTGTTTAATTTAGAAGTTCTTATATCCTGCTCTGTTAATTGCTTGCTAGCACCTGCAGCAGCCTCTGATTGTAAACGGAACAGGTCATACAAGTTTCTAAAGTATCAATCTGTGCTGCAAAAGTGTAACCTTTTTGTTTTTTTTCCTCGGAGGCTGCATGAGTCACAAC